CATTTACTGGAAAATATACTATTCATTTTCATAGAAGTGTAACAGTCATTTTAGGAACCATGTTGGCAACAAACATTATATATAAACATATATATATTTGTTCTTTGATCTAGCAATGACTTACAAGAAATCATTTCTTACAGAAAACAGTAACTTTTCTTGGGAATGTAGTGATATAAATGATTTTGGCACACCAGTACTAGTGAATATTCAGCACAATTTATGTTTTTGTCAGATTAAACATTTCTATATCATATAGTCCTATGACTTGATAAAATATATATTATTATTAAAATATTTGCATATGATAAGAAGAATAGAGAACGTCTGGGGAATATTTTTAAAATATATTTTCCTAGAAATTATATTAGTGATGGGAAAATATAAATTATGACACAAAGTGTTTGGAAAGATAATGCTGGAAGTTCAAAGGAGGAAACTTCATAAAGTTCTATAAAACTTTATAAAATATATATGTTTATAGCATATATAAAACAAATATATCACACACATAACTTGTATGCTACATACACAAACATATTAGAAATGGTCAATAAGAATATGACAATGAATGTTAATTGTGGATATCTCAAAGTAGAATATTCTCTTATTTTCTCCTTTGCTTTACTGAAATTTATAGTTTATAACAATAAGTCTGTGTTATTCATGTAATCATGAAAAGCAAACAGTAAATCTGTATTTATTGTGTATCAGGAAAATCATTGTGGTTGATTGTTTGTTTGATACAATTAATTGTATTAGTTTTCAATGTTTGTGTTTATTTAATGAATCCTTTCTGTATGCAGGTAACAGATCTCTAAGGACCCATGACCTGTGTGAAGCTTGTGCCCGCTCTTAAAGCTTTAGCCCACAAGTGGAACAGTCAGTTTGACTTACATGTATATAAACAGGCCTAGCAGAAACTTAAAAAATATCATGGAAATGATTGGAGATAAGGAAAAGAATAAAAGATAGAGAAACATAATAACAATAAAAAAGTCTAGGACAATTTTCAAGCAGACATTGGATAACTTCTGAAGCTATGAGTTGTGGAATGGAAGAGACAAATATTGTGAAGTTCGTTCATGTTCATTGCTCCTCTTGCCTAATATAGAAAATAATGTTGAGAGAAAACAGCTAACGAGAGGAAAAATGTTTATAAAATATTATTAACTCTAACAGGGGTGGACTAATCTAACTCTTTTTGTAGAAGGGCAAATACAAGCTATGTTCTTGGAGCACCGTGACTATATTTTTTGCTAGATAATGAAGTTCCATATCCCCCCAAAAATCTGTGAACAGTATCATAAATTATTTTCTCATTTATCGAGACAAATTACAGACAAAAATCTAAAGTAGTCATCACTTTCAGCGGTAATAATATGCCAAAAATTTATTTATAACTAATTTTTAAACATGATCGATATGTGTGGCTAATATATGTTTTGTAAATTATAAATTTCTTTATGATCAAGATAATCTTTTGTTTCTTATTATTTGAACTGTGTTATTCCTAGAACAATTCCTTTACGGTTCTAAAACAGTACCTTTTCTTCTTTAAAAACACAGACATTTATTTATGTAGGTACTCGCTCTTGCGTACGTTTGTGCATATGTGTTATGTGTGCACTTCAGAGAACATGATTGCTTGAACGGACAGAAGACATTTAATGAGGGTGGAGGGGAAGATCAGCAGTACACGCGGAATCTTTACATCACTTGATTTTGGGAAGGGATACATTGAATGTGTTTACAGTTTAAATTTGCATTTGTAGCTTGGCTGTAAAAGAATATGAAAAGTGTAACGGTAGACAATCTACTCTCTTCTTTCTCTTCTTTGCCTTATTTCTTTTTGAGGAAGATTAGCCCTGAGCTAACATCTATGCCCATCTTCCTCTATTTTATGTTGGATGCCTGCCACAGCATGGCTTGATAAGTGGTGCATAGGTCCGCACCCGGGATTCGAAACGACGAAGCCAGGGCCACCAAAGCAGAACATGTGAACTTAACTGCTGTGCCGCCAGGCTGGCCTTTCTTCTTTCTTTTTTAAAATGCATAAATATATTTATATTTTATGCATATATATTTGAATGTATATATGTACATATATGCATATATATTATATAGTTGTTACTTGGAATGGTAATGTGCCGTATGTAACTCCTGTATTGATAAATGTTCCTTTAACTGAGACATTAAAATATTCAAAGTTAGCTTATTACACTATCAGATAATTAGTACAGAGCACGTATGTGGAAATAGAATAATAAAATTTTAAGATAAAGGGAAGGGGATTGTATGGACTAAACATAGCTTTAGGAAACAATAAATTATATAAATTATGAAACAGAGTATTTGGAAAAATAATGCTGAAAGTTAAAAGGGTGAGAATTGTTGAACTTTGCCATAATAAACTGTATGCACAAAAAGTATTCGTATGTATGTATGTTTACTTTTTGTGTGTATGGCAGAAGACAGAAGATAGATAAATTTGTATGTGTGTGAGAGAAAACATTTATGTACTTTAATTTCTAGAGGGTTTCATGCAACTAATTGCATTTATGATGATTACATTTGTAATACGCATATACTGATATATACAATATGTCTTTGAGGTCATTATTCTATGATAGCTAAAATATTTGGCAAAATGGTGAGTTTATTAATTGATCAATAGACTGCCCTATACATGTGATTTCCATATCGAAAGTAAATATATATATTAGAAAGCTGTTTCATATCCAAAATCAAGTAAAAGGAAAAGACTTCAGAAAATTTTTGCCCTTTTCTCTTTGAAGTGAGGTCACATTTAGAATTGTAAGCAAAGTGATGTCTCACTTGACCATTCTTTCAGGCACTTTGTCTCTCTTGTGATTTTTTCTTTTTCTTTTTCGCTGCCCCCAGGGAATAATGAAATGTCTTTAACTACTTAAATACTCCATAATGTTTTTAGTAAATGCCTTTATTAGACTATGGATTTGCAGGTATTCTCTTGACACTTATAGTTCATAGGTACTCTCCTGACCTTTATAATGGTCCCTAATTTGTTACTTATATATAAAGTGCTGGTGTAAAGAAATTAAAGATGAATCGTATGTGGAAGAATTTATAAAATCAAAATTTTTGTGAAAGGAAAAGTCACTACCAGGATTTTGGGGAATTGTGAATTATAAATGAAGCATGGTGGATGGCTAAACAGAGAATTAAAGAATTGATGCTGATAAGGACAAAATACCAGAAATGTGGCTCTTCTTTTTCTTTTAAATCATGCAAAATTTCAAATATGCACAAAACTGGAGAGAAAAAATATACTTAACCCCCTTGAAACAATCAGAATATAGGCAATCTGTTTCGTTAATATCACCACCACTTCCATCCTTCACTGGGGCAATTTTGAGTTAATTTTTGTATAAGGTTCGAAGTTCATCTAGAGGTTCAGTTTTATCTGTTTCTTTTTTTTTTCAAGCCTTTGTATGTCCAATTTTAAACACCATTTTTTGAAACAATATATTTTCTCAGTGGAATGATTTTAAACCTTTGTCAAAAATCAGTTGTCTTCATTACACTAGACAGTAATGTATACAATCTGTATATATATCCTGTTATTAAAGTCATTGGAAAACTATAACAGGCCAAGTGAGAAAGAACTACTAATGGCCCAGGTCTTTCAGGAATGAAGCTTTGGATCGCACAACCAAATAAATTACCATCACCACCTGAGGTGCTTTCTGAGGGCAAAGGGAATATGGATTGGGTGTTGGAAGAAGATATTTATAAATACCAGCTGTGAGCAATGATTAGCCGCAGAAATAAGGACTATAATTATTATGAGTTTTTCTTCCTCATTTTGTTATGAACGCATCAAAATATCAGGAACTAGAGTAAATATGACCCAAAGACTTTGCATCTTCTTTCTTCTGGCAAAAGACTAAGCATATTTTCAGTTGCATGTAAAATACTTTTATGATGTGAACTAGAATTAGGGCTTTATACTGTCTTTATCAGGAGATTAAGTCTGGCTTAAGAGGATTTGTATTGTTGCCAAGTTGACAAGGGATGAACTGTCCCTGGTAGTTCTATGTGACAACATGTCTAGGCTTTCGTTCCCAGGTATTCAATCAAAGAACAGCTAATCATTGTTCTGAAGGTATTTTGTAGATGAGGTTAGCATCTAAAATAAACTAACTTTAAATAAAGGAGGTCATCCTTGGGAATGTGGGCCTCGTCCAATCAGTTGGAAGGCCTTAAAAGCAAAATTGAGATTTCCCTGAAGAAGAAATTCTGCCTCAAGATAGCTCCTTCCTAAGGGTTTCAGGAAGCTCACTTGTGCAACACATTTTAGACTTTACAGCCCCCACAATCACACTGCCATTTTCTTGAAATAAGTCTCTCTGTGTGTGCATGTGTGTTTGTGTGTGTGTGTGCATGTATTTGTGTGCCTGTGAGTGTCAGTGTTAGTCCCTGCTACTGGCATTTGGACAGGTAACCAGAGGCCCTCTAGGACAGTTCAATCGACCTCATCTTATCAACAGAGTAATTAAGTGTATTTTCTCAGGAACTGAGAATCAACTCCTTGTCCGGTTCAGGCCAGTTGAGACCACCAGCCCATCAACTGGGCCTGAGCAAGTATCCAAAAAGTAACCCTTTGCATGTGAAGGGGCTGAAAGCTCCACCCTCAGATCATGCTAACACCACCATTTGGTGAACGTGCATCCTATGAGGAGCCATAAAGCCTGACTACGCTTGCACAGATCAGCAGTTACCTCACTTCTCCTTACCTCCAATCATCTATCTCGACACTTCAGACCACACTGCGCTTCATCACATCAATTTTATCCCAAGTCTTGATCAGGCAGACAGATGTGAGAGTGTTGCCTCCTGTCTCCTTGCTGGTTGGCCTCACAATAAAGCCTTTTATTTTTTCAAAAGGTGATGTCATAATAATTATTTTAAATTTACATTAGGCAGAGAATCCCTACTTTGTGTGGTAACAGACACTCAGCATTGGCTCTAATCACATCAGGATTGGTGAATGGAAGTCCATGTTGCTGAATATATGTATAACCCTGTCACTTCCCTAAGGCCACTCTGTTCATGAGTCCATTGTGCAATGACAGGTATGTCTGGGAAAGAGACTTACTGATATCCACAGAATGGGTTATCCTGTCCACTTGAATATCAAAATTCTTCTCTGCCTAAGGTTACTCTTTTATAAGCATTCGATGGAGCACAAGTCTTGACATTTTTTTGCACATTCAGAGAAGTCTAACATATACCTCATTCTCAGATTTTCTTGTCACCAATTTTCAATTATATTCCTTCCAAGTCCTTGACCATTGAGTCAAACCATTGGCCTCAGCCCATGAATCACTGTATAATTTCATGTCTGGCCATTTCTCTTTCTAAGAAAAATGTCCAATCAGACGTACTGTTCAAAATTCTGCCTCTGGGGAGGATTTCTTTTCACCACTGTCCTTTAAGGATGTCCTAGAAAAGGGCTACAGTGTTACAGTTGTCCAATTTTGGATGGTGTCTGCCTATCACAGAGAACCATTCATAAAGTCAGACCTAAGTTTTCCGTTCCTCAGTCAACTGATCATAGGGAACTCCATATGAGGCCACAGATGTGGACTTAGAGAGAGAAGTTAATGCAGCTGGAGTAGGGACCCAGGGCATTTGGTCCACTTCCTCATGTTACTGACTTATAACCTCAAGGCCTTGCTCAAGACCTGTCTCATAATAACCCTTCCATTTAATGCCTGGAGATTTGTATTTTGGAAAGTTTTCAATTACAAAAACTCAATTTCTCTAATAGATAGAATGACTATACATCCTACTTATTTCATGTTGAGTAATGATAATAGTTTATGGATTTTAAGAAATCAACTCATTTCACTTAGTTGACAAATTTGTGGACACAGAGTTGTTAGAAGTACCTTTATTATTCCTTTAATAATATTTATGGGTTGCGTATGTGCCATACTCTTTCACTTCTCTTGTTTATTAATTGCGATTTAACAAAATCCAACAAAAGGTGGTTAGTTGGTTATTTTAAAAGACCAGTTAATTGAAAAATCCCTTGCAATATTGACAAAGAAATGAAAAGGAAAATACAAATTGCCATTATAGGGAATGAAAATGAGAATATCACTACATGACAAACAGACATTAAATGAATGTAAAGGAATACTCAGAAGAATAATTTGAAATAAATTATCTAAAATTGATAAACTATAACTGTAAAACATTAAATTATTAGTTAAAACTTTTCCAGAAAATAAATCTCCAGGCCCAGTTTTACAAGTGAGCATAAGTGAGGCCATCTTGTTACACTAAATGGACCCAGCCTCTCCTCTGTGTGATTACTTGCTGCTCTGCATGTACTCTAAAAAATTCACATGCTCTCCTGGTTTATGGTCTCCACTTATGTATGTACTCCCCAATAACTTGATAAAATAAAACTTTATGAGTTTTTCTCTGGGAACAGGCTGACTACAGGTGGGAAACACAACTACAAGGTATCCATCACAACTGACAGAAGAGTAGAACAATGTGAGGCCTGGAGACCAACATCCCTGGCCCCCTCCTCACTGCCCATTTTCCCTATATAACTACCTCAAGATTCTGTAATCCTTGAAAATGGATTTTTGAGACATTAGTCACCTGTCTTCTGATTAGCCAGCTAACCTGATTAAGCTTTCTTTTTCCGTCTCTAACTTGTTATAATTAATGGGCTCAGGTCACAGTGAGCAGAGCTAGCTCATTGCTCAGTATCAATTCTGGCAACCCAGATGGACCATGGCCTCTGCCTGTAGTTAGTCAATGTGGAGGAAACTCTTTTCAGATTTTTCCCTGCAGTTGCCAGGTGGCTTTTTCTGCCTGGGGAATTCCCCTCATGGCATTCTCAATTGCTGACTGCCTCTAATGCTTCAGTGATCAGGAAATGAAGGACTGGATGTAAGCTGATGAGATTGTGCTTGTAGCTAGGTGAGTCATCCAGAATATACCTCCCAGGTACTATATTCCTTTTTCCTGGTCTGGGGGCCTTGGTCAGGCCAAGGTCCATCTGGTTTTGGTGCCCCTGTTTAGGGATAAAGGAAAGTACAGACTGCCTAGTATATTATCTGGAAGACTAGTCTCCGGTTTTTCTGTGGTGTGCATGCCCATATTGTCTGTTCTCCTGAGTGAGTGTGTCATACCACTAGTCTATGTGTCAGTTTTTCTGAGTCAGAATTCACAGCATACTTCCAGCGCTTGTCACATCATCTTTGGGAACATGATGTTTGTGACCTTTTCTGTCAAGTGCCAAGCCAGAACTGAACACCTCAATGCAGGCACTGCTGTAAGTGTGTTAAGCCTTGAGAGGAAGCTGTGAGAACACAGCTTGACAATGTTTTCCCCTTTGTCTGTCTTCTCTGACACCTGCTTTGCTGTCATTATGTGAAAGTTAGGTTTGGGCTTAAAGTAAGCCAGACCCAGACTTCCTGCAAAACAGAAAATTTAAACACTTTCTCCTTGGCACCTGATCTCCTACACTGGCATTGAGAAATTAGATCTTTAATGAACATCAAACCATTACCTCTTGCCTCTTTGGCTTGTTTCACATGGGTGTGAGAACTGTAGGCTCAGGTGGAGTGGAATTTGAATAAGTCGTATAATTATCTGGATGCCCGGAGCTAAGCCTTGCACCCATGTCCTGGACCATTAATTATCAGACACAATCTTTATCATATGGGTGCCACTCTATCCATTTGCCCCCCTCCACCCAAAAAAAGCCCACTAAGGTACATGCTAGCCAATTGGGCTGATTTCAGTTATGAGTCCATGACAAAGAAAAGAATGATCTTTTACTGTAGTGTAGCCTGGCCCCAGTATACACTGGGCTCAGGAAAAAAAGCCCCAATTGGGTCACATAATTATGACACCATCTTTCAGCTGGAATTGTTCTGCAAGAAGGAAGGAAAGGAAGATAAAATCCCCTATGTTCAAGCCTTTATGTTGCTATATCTAGATCAGAGAAGGGGGACAATACACTGAGGAGTCCCCAAGCTCCTCCTCCTCTCCCTTTTCCCAGGCCTACTACTTGCCCAACTGAAAATACCTGAGGAGTTGCCAGGGATAGAATTCAGTCAGGGATCCTTTCCCGGAGAGGGGCAATTTCCACTGTGAAAGTATCCCATAGTCATAAATGGATAAGGGCAACTGGCTGGCTTCATTTGGGTGAACTTTCCTTTCTCTACCTTGGGTCTTTGGGAAAATTTTATGTTCCTGGATGTCCTGTTCTCCTCCTGGGATGAAACTTTCTTTGTAAACTGACTGCTCAAGTGACTTTTGCTCCAGGCCAGCTAGAGGTGCAAGTGTCATTGTAACAATCGTCTTTATGGTTCCAGATGGCCCTAATAGGTGTTCAAATATCACCATGGGACCTGCTGCAACTGGAGATCTTCAAGGAGGTAAGACCAGTGGGCACACAGGAAGCCTGGAAAAACAAAGACTGTCCAGCAAATACATATGCCCTTGAATACCCAAAAGATAAAGCCTAGCCTGAAACAATATCTGCTAGATGACGAGGGTCAGAAAGGCATTCAGCCAGTGCTGTAGAAATTCCTGACAGCAAGCTTAATAAGACCTTGCCAGTCACCATTTAATACTCCTATTCTCCCAGTCAAGAAACCCAGTTTAAATGAATATTGGTTTGTTCAGGACCTTTGAGCTATAAATGAGGTGGTTCCGGACTTTCACCCTATTGGACCCAGCCCTTACAGATTGTTAACCAATATTCCAGGTGAATACAGCTGATTTTCAGTTTTGGACTTAAGGGATGCATTCTTCTGCATGTCACTCACAGAAGAATCACAACTTTTTGCCTGTGAATGATGTGACCCAGATACTTAGGCGACTCAAAAATATTGTTGGACAGTGTTCCCCCAGGGCTTTAAAAACTCCCCTATGTTATTTTGGGAGGACTTAGCTAAAGACTTGAACCAATTACAATTATAAGAAAGATTTCTGGGGCTGGCCCAGTGGTGCAGCGGTTAAATGCGCATTTTCTGCTTCTGCGGCCCGGGGTTCGCCAGTCCGGATCCCGGGTGCAGACATGGCACTGCCCGGCGAGCCATGCTCTGGTAGGCATCCCACATATAAAGTAGTTGGGCATGGATGTTAGCTCAGGGCCAGCCTTTCTCAGCAAAGGGACGAGGATTGGCAGCAGTTAGCTCAGGGCTAATCTTACTTAAAAAAAAAGAAAGAAAGAAAGAAAGAAAGAAAGAAAGAAAGATTGCTGTTACAGTATGTGGAGGACTCGCTGATGGTGAATCCCACTTATGAGCAATGTATGGCCAACACAATAAAGACCTTGAATCATTTGACTGAATGTGGGTATAAGGTCTCACAAACGAAAGCACAGATCTGCAAACAAAAACTCACACACTTAGGATTTACCTTATCAAAAGTCCAAAGAGAACTGCTGCCAGACTGAAAGAACTGCCTGAGCTTCCCCACCTCATCACCTTGTAGGTGAGGGCTACAAGGATTCTTGGGCATGGTTGGTTTCTGTTGGATCTGGATTCCTAACTATGGTCTCATAGTAAAGCTCCTCTATGAGGCTTTAAAAGGTGTAGACTGGGAGCCACTAGAATGGACAAAGGAATATCAGGTTACCTTTGATACCATTAACACAAAGTTAATTTCAGCCCCAGCCTTGGGAGTGCCTAACTTAGACAAGCCCTTCAGCCTATATGTACGTGAAAGGCAAGGAGTAAGCTTGGGAGCATTAACTTAAATGGTAGGAAGAACCCCAGAGAGTGGCTTATTTTTCTAAGCAATTTGATCAGACTAGCAAAGCTTGGCCAGTCTACCTCAAGGCAGTGGCCACTGCTGGTGACATCTTGCAGGAAGCTGAATAATTCACCCTGGGCCAAGCCATCATGGTATATGCACCACATCAAGTACTCACATTATTAGAACAAAAAGGGAGATACTGGCTCACTTCAGGAGGGCTAGGCAAATACCAGGCAATTCTTTTGGACAATCTAAATGTACTGATGCAAGTTTCATCCTGCCTAAGCTCTGCCACCCTGCTTCCTAAGACATCGCTGAGACATCAGAAGCCTTAGAACATGATTGCTTACAAGTTATTGAGACGGTGTGTTCTAGCAGACTTGATTTTTTGGACTGTCTGTTGGAAGAACCAGACTTGGAAATCTTCACAGATTGCAGAAGTTTCATGGATCAAGGTAAGAGATGCGCTAAATACAAGGTCATAACTTTACAAGAGATTTTAGAGGCCAAAGCCCTATGCCCAGGGATGTCAACTTAAAAGGCAGAAATCATTGCCCTCACTTGGCTTTTACATCTAGGCTGAGGGAAGAGCATAAACATGTATACAGATTTCTCTTATGCCTTTGCTGTAGTTCATGCTCATGGGGCAATCTGGAAGGAAAGAGGACTCTTAACAACAGGGAAGAAGGAAATCAAACATGGCCCTGAAATTCTAGAGTTGTTTGATGCTATTAATGAGCCTGTTCAGGTAGCTATCATGTTTCACCCTGGCCACCAGAGGGACAATACTCCTATTGCCCAAGGAAACAGATGGGCTGACCAAGCGGCCAAAGGGGCTGCTAAGACAGACATACCTGCTGTGATGGGAACCCCACAGCCATAGGTAGATCTTAGTGCCTGCAAACCAATATATTCTGAAAGGATAAAGAATGAACTAAAGAATGGGGGTACGACATTGAATTCCCAGGAGACTGGAAAGGAGATGCCCATGGGATGATTCAAAGACCTGAGGCCCTCTTATATGTCATCTTAAGGCAAATACATAAGAGCATTCATTATGGAAGAGATGCTACCTTCCAATGGCTTCAGAAGTACATCATAAGGTTCCACCTACAAAAGACTATAAAATAGGTGACTAAAAATTGCATAATCAGTGTAAAGAACAAATCCAAGACTGCATCAAGCCGCCTGCATCTGGGTACCCAACATAAAGGAAATTGGCCTACTGAAGACTGGCAAATAAATTTTACCCAGATGCCCTGGCCGGTTGGAAATTTAAGGACTTTTTAGTGTTTGTGGACACCTTCCCTCAGGCGAGTAAAATCCTTTCCCACTAGGACTCAGAAAACATCTAAAGTAATTTGCATGTTGCTAAAAGAAACCATGCCTAGGTTTGGTCTGCCTAATCCCTTACAGAAGGATAAGGGACCAGCTTTTGTCTCCCACCTAACCCAACAAAAGTCCAAAAGCCTAGATGTCTGATGGATACTACATGGTTTGGAGACCTCAGTCAACTGGAAAGACAGAGAAAATGAACCACACCTTAAAGAAGACCATTGGCAAACTCTGTCAGGAAACACACCTAACTTGGAATAAGGTGCCTCCCCTTGCCCTGCTACAGATTAGCGTAGCTCCCCAAAGTGGACTTGAATTGAGTCCTTTCAAAATTCTATATCGGAGTCCCTTTCAGGCATCTTCCCCTGGGACTGAATCTCTTGATGTTTTAAGGAATGCCATTATTGCTAATTATGTTAAGTCATTAAGCTCTGTATTAACTTCTGTCCATGATATTGCTTCTCATAGGTCTGTATAGCCATCTGACGTCCCTCTATACACCTTCCAACCTGGTGGTCATGTTTTCCTGAAAACTTGGAGAGACAAAGGACCTGAAAACCACTTGTCACCCAAATGGACAGGCCGCTTTGAGATTGTTCTCACTACTCACTCGTAAATAAAGCTTGCAGGTGTGCAACCCTGGATCCATCATTCCCAGATCAAGGCAGCCGCAAAATCACAGGAAAGTACCCCACCTGTGTTGAGGGAAAAGTGGACAGCAGATCCCCTTGGAGAACTAAAATATGTCTTTAAAATAAAAATTTCACCTTTGTTATCTAACCCTTCTTCTCACTGGCATGGGAAGACAATCCCCTGGTTTGAATCACCCAGGCCATTGTTTCCTCTGCCAATGTCACAGATTACTGGGTGTCTCACTCAAAACCCTCTTCTTTCCTAGAACATGGGGATCCTTTAGTTTGACTAGTATATGACTTCTCCATTATTCCCTCAGGTTGGACGAGGAAACCAGTTACCAGCAAGATTTCATAGAGAGTACAAATAACACAATTATCTACTGAAAAACAGAGAAAGTTTCTTTGCCTTACTGTACACCTGAGAAGGGAACAACATAAATATGTCATGCCCTCTCTTGGGAATAATATTTTCCCTTCATGCCAAATTCATCCCATTGAAATACCTGTATATGGGTTTGGTCAGCAAAATACAGAAGACTCTTTGTTATCCCCTACTGACAAGTGCCTCCCCTTCCAGATTCCTACATCTGACAGGAGAATTCCCAACATTACTCAAAAAAGGAAAATCATCACTACCATGATTGGAGATAATGTAACTCTTCCTTGTATTGTGACTTCTCTATTCCCTGTAGGCCCATCATATGGAACAAAGAATTTAAAACCAGTAGAGACATATTTTTCCATTTTAATGCACATGCATTCCCTAGAGTTACTAGTGTAGCAAAATAACTCAGAAAAAAAATTTGGGCTTTTCAATTCATATACACAATTTAACTCCCCTTGATGCTGGATTTTATTTTTGCACCAAACTTTGAAAGGGATGTAAGGACATTATAGTAAAGTCGGAGACTGGGACCCAGGTGCTTATTAGTACCACACTTTCCCCTAATTTCATATCATTTGTCCCAGCGGAGCCTGCTTATTCTAGTTTTTTGGGACAAACTTGGGTAGAAAAGGCTGCTTTAGCTGTAAGTATAGATTATGGCCATATGTGTTATCCTCCCAAGGGCTATGTATTCACCTTCACCCACAACAGTATACCACAGGCACACAATTGTTTATGGAACTTGATGGATTCAAGGCAGTGCCTACTGGGGACCCTTAGAGTACCCTTCAATTTATAGTCTCATTAAGAAACCAAACTTTGGACAAACTCACTTAAATCACTCACCCAAGTGAGTAATTTGCCAGGTGAGATTTTCCGGGTGGAATTCCTGATGGTGATGTCTACTTTTTTGGTTATAACCTCTTACTTTGCTTGGGGTAGCTGCTCATGAACACATTCTCCATGATTTTTCCTGAATGTTAGAAATTATAGCTAACGAAACCATGAACCCTCTAACAAATTTACAAACATCGCTAAATTCCCTGGCTAAGGTGGTTCTTGATAGCAGGATAGGTCTTGATAATGTCCTAGCTGAGCAGGGAAGGGTATGCATGGTGGTAAATGCCACCTGTTGCATCTACATCAATACTTCCTCTTAGGTGGAGACTAGCATCAACAAAATAAGAGAAGAAGCCACATGGACATAGACAACACTTGGTCACCAAACCTTTTTTCTTTCTGGTGTAGGTGACTGTTTTATTAACCTGTTTTCCTGGATACCAACGAGAGTCCACTACATTTTAGTGGGAATCATAAAAGGGGGCCTCACTCTACTGTTTGTTGGGGTATTAATCATTCTCCTTCTTAAGCTGGGTGTCAAATGCTTATCTGCTAGAGGAGTTATGACATCCCATCTCCCCTTTGACCACAGGATTATGGGTTACTATTCGCAGTGGGGAAACTGTAAGTAAGCATAAGTAAGGCCATCTTGTAATTGAACATAAGTGAGGCCATCTTGTTACACTGAACAACCCTTTCTTAGTTGAAATATTTGCAGCATATGATCATTATAAATTCCTGCACACGTTCATAATTTTCTGGCCTGACCCTGTGCACATACCCCTGATGAGGTACTCTGATAGCTTTGTTTTTAACAATTTTAATGAATTTTCCCAGGGAATAAGAAGGCCTCCAGAAAGAAAGAGCACCTGTAGAATACTCATCATCATTGACAGAAAAACAGAACAATAAGAGATCCTGCAGTCTGTCATGTACATTTCTAAACTCTGTCTTTTCTGTCCATTTTCCCTATATAACTGCCTCATGATTCTGTAATCCTTGATAATGGGTTTTTGAGACATTAGTCTCCTGTCTTCTGACATTGCAGCTAATCTAATCTAATTAAACTTCCTTTCTCAATCTCTAAGTTGTTGTGATTAATTGGCTCAGACCGTGGTGAGCAGAGTAAGCCCATTGCTGGTTATCACTCTCAGACCATAAGGATCATGGATTATAACCTAGGGAATTTATTTATCAGAAGAGTCATCAAATAAATAACTCTTTGGAGATCTATTAAAGGACCATATCTGAAGGAGGAGGAGATGGCATCTGTTGTAGACAGCTGTCCCAAGACTCCAGACTGGGCCTGTATTCCCAACCTTATATCCCCTCATTTGAAAATTGTTATGCATAAACTCTCTCTCTATTTTATAATCTTTCTCTTTAAGGTTTCAAAATACTTTGAAATACTTCCAAGAACTTTCTTTATACTTAAAGAAAGTGATTGATTTGGAGCACAGTTGTCTCGAAGGTCAGGCATTTATCTGGTGGCTCCTAATGGAACTCAGTGGTTATGTAGAACAAATCTCTAGCCTTAGCCACTGCCTAGATGGCTAAAACACTGCACTCTGAGTTTCCATTGGAAGCAGGGAAGGATTCACACTGAGCTAACACCTGTTTTAAATCTTCCTCTCTTTAAGACCAGATGGGCTCATTCAGTGTTCCTCTGGTATGGCCACCAAGTGGCTATATTTGTTCCTTCTTTTGGATGCCATATCACATACAGAAGCCCTTAACAGTAGTCAAGCAGGAATAGCCTTGTTAAATACTAAAATGTCTTTACTGAAAACAGATGTCCTTCAAAATAGAATGGCTTTAGATATTTTAACTGCATCCCAAGGTGGTACATTTACCAGCACTCAAACTGAAGGCTGTGCTTTTATACATGATGAATCTTCCAATGTGTCATCTCTTCTAAAGCACATGAGAAAGCAGGTGAATTCTTTAAGTGATCCTACACCTAGTCTTGATTTCTGTGGTTGACTTCCTTCCAGTATTGGTTCCTGTTTTGATCCTGATTGCAATCCTTATTTCTATTAATTCTTGGAATTATTACACTAGTCATAATATTCAAACTAATTGCTGTTTTCTTTACTCAGTATTGTAAGACTGGCACACAAGCTAGAATAATTGTTGCTTGGCAACCTGAGATGGTAGGTCAATCTTATAACCCTGGACAAATTTCCTTTTCTAATTAGGAGTATTCCTAAGAACTTATTTTAAACCAATGTTTCAAAAATGTTGAATTATTACCAGTGGTACTCTACCTGCTCTATAATTATGAAAAATGTCAACATAATGAATCATAGAAAAGGACATGTACAATGTTTGTGCAAAAATCTAAAATTAATTGAAATGATATAACCTATGAAATGCTTCCTCTGTTTATATATATATATATATACCTCTATGCTTGTCCACTGTGTCAATTTCCTACCAAGCACAACTGAGCAAACAGATGAGATAAAAGCCCAGCACCGAGGGACATGTTGGACTCAGGGCAGGCAGCAACCTCTCTTGCACCAAGGGACAATATTTTGATCATCAATGCTTTCCATTGAAAGATTGCAGATAAAAACGGGGAAAAAGGATAAATAAATGGCAAGCAATAGGATATTTTGGAGTATATGAGGAAGCCATTTGGTGTGATACTAATTCAGCCTGACCTTGTTTTTCCAAAAGGGCCTGATGTGGCTGCAGAGCATTCATTATATACTTGCTTTAAGTATTTACTATGTCCGAAGGACAAGAACAAATGTCCTTAAGATAAAGATTCAATTTCCCCCACATTGGCATTTCCTTAAGGATAAGCATCTCTCCCCAGGCTTGGAATTGATTGCTGTACTCAACCTGTGAACACTCAGCTAGAGAGTGCAGACATACTACCTGCTGTGTGAATCGGTGTACTGGCTAGGCAATCTTGTGACTGTTCTAAAAGGAAGATCCCAATCATGTGTGATACATACTCATTGATTGTATATAACCAATCTATACACTCCACTTCTTTGATGCCCTTCCTTCCTTGGGGAAGGAAGGTCCAAGGCTAGTCCTCAGATCTGCTTCATAATAAACTCACCCTAATTTTGATTTATAGATTGATTATGGATTATTTGTGTTGACACTACGCAATTGACTTTTGGCAAAGTTGCAAATGCTTTTCAGTGGAGAAAGGGCATTCTTTTTAACAAATAACATTAGAATAATTGAAGACTCGTCTAGTCTACTTAAACCTAAAAATCATGCCTTATACAAAAATTAACTCAAGTGGATCATAGATTTGAATGTAAAATGTTGAACCATAGAATTATTAGAAGAAAAGATAGGAGGAAATATTTGTTATCTGGGATTAGGCAAGAGATCTTAACTATACTACCAAAAATACAATCCATAAAAGGAAATATTTATAAATTGGAATTCAAATTTAAAATATATTGCTCTGAGTTTTACATTGTTCAGAGGAATAAAATAAAAGCCAAAGGGGGAAATATTTTGTGCAAGATGTATCCCAAAAAGTAAATGCATATAGAATATAAAAGAACTTCCAAAACTCAATAGTAAGAGAAGTAACAACCTAATTAACAAATGTATAATAACTTTGATATTTTACTAATGGATATATAAAAAAGTCAAATAATCACATGAAAGATGCTCACTATCATTAGCTGTTATTAAATTGTGAACTAAAACCAAAATGAGATTATGCCACATATGTATTTTAATGACTAGAATTAAAAGAAAATAAATAACAAAATAATTAGCTCAAAATTGATGAATAAATTTAGAACTCTTGAAGAGTGAAAGCTTTCTATGCATGTGCCATGATACTTCTAAAATCTGCTTTTGCATCTCTCTATTTATTAATCTTTAT